ATATATATATATATATATATATATATATATATATATATATATATATATATATATATACATATACAGTTAAGTGCGGTTCATTTGAAGCAGAGAAACAACGCAGTTTAATAGCCAGTAGGAAAAGAGCAGATATCTGTCTTTCTACAACACAATATACAATAGACGTCACAAACCTCAGCTGTACAGAAAGTGAAGTACCATGTTGTACACATAATAAGAAGTAAAGTACCATGTAATACACATAAACCCCATGTTGTTTTGATCTGGTAACCTGTGTGGTGTAATTATGTAACCTTTGTTTTCTAAACAAGGCAAGGAGCATAGACGGAAGACACAAGACAGATGTAACACTTAGAAAAAACAAACACAGCACCTCACCTCTTTTTTACCAAGCACCTTTTTACCACTTACTGTTTAATATACAGAATGTAGATGTACTTTTTTGGTTTACATTTTCCTATGTTCTACAAGCTCAGTATTTATGCAACATAGAAATATCGCATACACAAAGCTATTCTCAGCAGATACATATCTTTGCGGAGTTACCAGGACACAAAAAGCATTCTACTGATTAGATGTAAAAATACTTCAAGCTTTTGATCTACGGAGCTCGCATATAAAAAAAAGCCTTTAGATGAAATTGTATGGAATGGTAAACATAATTTTATAGGCGGGATATGTACACAAAATAGGCCAACAAGCTTATGAAGTTTACAAGAGTGCCCATACAGTATATTGATTGCTGGAGGGAAGGGATATGGTTTAAGGGAAAGGCGTTTAGGGGTAAAGACTACAGGTTGCGGAATATTTTAGGGGAGAGGGATCCGACGAAGCGCCAGGAGGGAAAGGGAGCCCTGTTTCGAAGCGTCGAGGGATAGAGCGGGTCTTGTTTCGAATCTTCAATTACTTTTGCTTTGTAGTGGATGGTTGTCCGTTGTGGGGAGTGATGACTACAGTGTTCATCTCATGTATTACTGTAATTGGGAGTAAACGGAATCATCACTGCTGCTTTTACTCTGACTAGAGGAATTTTAAAAGCATGTTCATTGTGGGTTGAATGTCAAAAGCTCTGATTCGAAACTTAAAGTATATATTTTTTTGTCGGTAATGTTAAAGTTCTGTTTAGGGACTAGTTAAAGGTTATCACCGCTTCGCCTCATTCACCAGGAGAAACTGCTTGTTCGAAATATTAAAGGGGGAAGGAAAAGCCAGTTCGAAGCTTCAGGGGAAAGGGTCGAAGCCTTTAAAAAAAGGGGTAGTTGCTGATGACACCTTGAAAAAATCGAAAGCATCCCGAAACACACAAGGGAAGTCCACACTAAAAAGCAGAATGGCCAATCATGAGAAGGGCCAAGGGGGCGCCATTCCTGAGGGAGCCTTATGCGGGGGAGGCGCAGCAGCGACTACCTTCGGAGGCTGGCGTGAGCGTAACGCCCGAGCATTTTGGAACGTTGGAGGGGAAGTCGCACACGGCCTGCTCATTGTTCCACACGAGGCCGCCCGTGCAGTGCTGCACGACGAGCTGTCCTGCAGCGCACCTTACTAGGGCGGTGCACTGGGGGCCCGCGTAGGCCTCTCCCTCCGTGGTGCAGGTGGACTTCTTGAACATGTCGGGGCCGCGGGTGGTGGCGGTACCTGCGGGGCTACAGTGCTTACGGGGGCGTCTCTGAGTGGGCGGAGGCGGTTTGGGGTTTTATTGGGTGGGAGAATGTGGGTATTGCGGGTGGGTGGGCGTGAGAGAAGGAATGGGGAGGGGAGGGGGTGGATAGAATGAATAATGGGGCGGGGAGAGGGATTAACTTCTGGGATTCCTGTTCTGTTTTATTCTTATGCTTATTTTTTTTTTTTATATTTGTTCATTTTTTAAAATTCTCTGGCCTAACAAAATTTGCCGCTTTCTATGCAAGCATTCTAACCGCTCTATTCTATATAGTCTATGAATATGCACATAGTATGTAAAGCTCATAATAATACTCAAACACACACACACACACAGAACTCACAAAATCTACACGCTGATTTCCTATGAATCTGAAATACACAAGCTTACCCAATGGATTTCATAGACGATGATTGTTCATATTGACTTGCTTTACTTCCCGCAGCTAATTTCGCTCTATCTATGAATCTATCGCTCAAAATTTGTTTATATATGTATTTGTTGTCCCCATGAATTGAATTTTAACCAAATTCTGCTCCTTATTAGATCAGATCGTAATCCTGGCTTTCTGTTAAGACGACTCTATTGACAAGTATTAAGAATTTTCCTCTTTGGATGCAGCGAAACAGAAAAACAAAATAGGTTTAAAAAATCCACACTGGCGATCGCTAGCGTTGGCTGAAAAGGCAAGTTTGGGTTGTCTACACTCCATACTCACTCCTACAACGGGCCCTCTGAGGCCAGTCGCAGATCTTGAGGCGTTCGTTCCAGTGCAGGCCGGGGGCGCACGAGAGGACCACCCAGTCGCCGTTGTGGCACTGGCGGAAGCTGCTGCAGTCGCCTGGCACGCCCGACGTCTGGCCTGGGTCGCAGGACTCCTCGCCGGACTCTGAGGGCGACGGCGGCGAAGGACGGGTGGCTGGAGGGGCGGTAGTGGTAGTGGAAGAGGATAAGAAGGTGGAGCGTGTGGACTGCCACCAGGGTCTGCTGGTAGAGCGTGTGGGAGGTTGCCACCAAGGTCTGGTGGTGGTAGGGGGGCGTGTGGTAGGGTATGTAGGACGCTGCGAGGGTTGCCACCAAGGTCTGGTGGTGGGACGTGTGGTAGGGCGTGCAGTGGAGCGTGTTGTCCACCAGGGTGCGGTGGTGGTGGTCGAGGGGGGTAAGAAAGGGGGGGGAGTGGTCGCCGGCCCGCCTACAGGAGGGAGAGAGAAAGGGTCATGCCTCATGCTGGCGCGTTACACCTTAGTGGTAAACATTGCTTTTGGTGTCTTCGAGTTATACTTTACTTGCTAAAAATACTCAGATTACTTATTTGTCAGTTATTTCATGTGGTATTTGGATTACGATATTAAATAAAACATGCTGACTACTTATTTTTATTTCCTAGAGAAATATGCTAGCATGCTGTAATAACCCATGGTATAATAAAAAAAAAATCATTTCAACAGAGAATGTGAATGTAACACCTAACATGCGATCAAAGTCTAACTGTAATGAAGTCATGCGGAAAGATAGAGTGCAGCTATGAATTTTGAAGTTATAAAGTCTTTTGAAACCTTTGCAGTAATTTGTGTTTGGTTTACGTTTTAGAATTATGAAACTGGAATGGCTTATTTTTTTTCTTTTTCTTAAGACTACATTTTAGGTAAAACGAATACTGAAATATGTCCATAAATTGAAGCTTGATTCAAAGGAGGACTTTATAACTTCAATGTTTTTGGCCTAATTGGTAGCTCGAAACGTATATTAAAGAGAAAACCAAAGATAAATAGAAAAGAACGAATATCTGTTTTTCACCTCCACGTCTACAGAACATAGAAACATTAAAAATAGAAGATAAAGAAGAGAACATGCTAGCTACATGACCCAACTACAATGAAGGAATATAATGTTTTATGTAGGGAATTGCGCTTTATGTCTTACTGTTGTGGCTCAACCAAGCAGAGGTTATTGCATTTATATCATTATAAGCATATTTACGGCATATTGCATCCTATCTGAAAAGCGATCTGTTTTTTTTTTAAAGCTCGGCGTTTGTTGTTATTTAAAGCAAGGAGCGTTTAGACAGGATGTGGACTTACTTGGCTGTTTCCCACAGTTAGCGTTCTGCGGCCAGTCGCAAATCTTCTTTGCCTGGTTCCAGTGCAGTCCCGGGGCACAGCGAGCTTCTTCTAGCACCCCGTTACTGCATCTATTAGGCACGGGAGAAGGAAATCACGTGTTAATGGGTAGGTGGAGGAATCTTTATATGAGGCGCTGTACAAACTAGAAATTGTTGCTTTATATGATTGTTGTTTTTAAAGATTTTAACAATGCTCTGTTAGACTTTGTTGTCTGAACTCATGGAACTGCTGTTTTGTTTAGATACTTTTAGGATCTTTAGGATTCATGTTGATGTTTGTGCTTTAATATTTAAGCTAAATACCTTCAGGATGTTTTTTTGATTCATGTTTATGTTTAGACTCAAGGAATTACTGCATAGTAATATATCTATCTATCTATCTATCTATCTATATCTATCTATATCTATCTATATCTATCTATCTCTATCTCTATCCATCTATCCATCTATCTCTATCTCTATCTATCTATCTATCTATCTATCTATCTATCTATCTATCTATCTATCTATCTATCTATCTATCTATCTATCTATCTATCTATCTATCTATCTATCTTTTGTTCTAAGATTTATGTATTGCCATGTAGGATTTTCTTTTAGGTGGGGGGGGGATTAAAGATTTTAGTAACCATTTCGTGTTACTGTATAATCATTTTCGATATTTTTTCTTTCTGATCAAAGCCTCACCTCAGGAAGTAGCCGCAGTCGCCCGCCTTGGGATGGTACTCCCCGCTTCTGCAACTTTCGCCCGGGTTCTTGCCACCCCCTGGGGCGGGCGGCGCGGGCTGTGGCTTGGGTCTCGGGGTCGTCGTTGTGTAAATAGGACGCCTCGAGGTCGTCGTCGTGCGTCTGGTGGTGGTGGTGGTGGTGGTAGTGGTCGGAGTCGTGGTTCTGGTGATGGGCATTCGTGTCGTCGTGGTCGTGGTTGGGGGCCTCCACCACCAGGTCGTCGTTCTTGGGGTCGTGGAGGTTGAAGGTTGGACCCACCAGGGCGAGGTGGTGCGAGGGGTCGTCTGCGTGGTCGAGGTGGTTGAGGTGGTGCGCCGGGTGGTAGGTGGTCGCGGGCTCGGGGTCGTGGGGGTCCAGGGGGTCTGCCACGACGGGGTGGACTTCGTCGTGGAGCCGGAGGTGAGGTTGAAGAGGCCCCAGGTGGACTCCGTGGGTTTGCCCTGGATGGCTGCGTCGGGGGGGAGAGGGCAGGTTATTTCGGTGCTGGGGTGGACTCTTTATTAACATAGTCTTAGATACTTAAGATAAAAGAGAAAAAAAAAAAAAAAAAAAAAAGAAGAGAAGAGAAGAGAAGAGAAAAAGAGTAAAGAGTAAGATAAGAGTAAGAGTAAGAGAGTAAGAGAAAGAGAAGAGAGTAAGAGAGCAAGAGAGCAAGAGAGCAAGAGAGCAAGAGAGCAAGAGAGCAAGAGAGCAAGAGAGTAGAGCAAGAGAGCAAGAGAGCAAGAGAGCAAGAGAGCAAGAGAGAGAGAGAGTAAGAGAGTAAGAGAGTAAGAGAGTAAGAGAGTAAGAGAGAGTAAGAGAGTAAGAGAGAGAGAAGAGAAAAGAAAAAGAATATATATATATATTCCCAATCTTACTGAATGCCTAACCACCGAGGTATTTGCGATACCATGCTGGTACGACGCAGGGTTGGTAGACCATATTCTTAAGACTATATTAAGCCGTAAAAGTTCAGTATCACATAGCCCGTTACAACACGAACACAAAGCATTAGGTAAAACGAACGAGAACAGCTGCACGAACAAAAACACATAACATGCATACACATAAAACAAATACATATACATGCATGGGTAAATCCAGACAAACAAGTTCAGTGGGACATACATTGCACGTTATCATTATTATTTTTGAGTGTGAGGCATTCGAGGTAGCTAGTGGTGTGCCAGGCAAGATTCGAACGACGAATCTCATGTGATTTGTCAGGGCGCGAAAAGAATCTTGTCTGATGATTTCAGCCGGCAAAGGAAAACAATATGAGGTGGACAGAGAAATAACGATGAACATGCACACAAACATTCGTGTATGTAATACATATATACATACATACATACATATATATATATATATATATATATATATATATATATATATATATATATATATATATATATGCATTTATGTATACATGCAGATAAACTCACACACGCACATATATAAGCTGTCGGGCTGTTGACAAATGCTTATCAGCCGCATTCCCCAACCTCTTTCGTTCCGAGTACAGACGCACATCCGCCGGATTAGGATCGGGCGTTGGTGCACTTTGACGATCACATAAAGCATTAGTTGGACACAACTTTTTAAAGCGTTAGTAGTGCATTCGGTGACATAAACTTACTGTCTGTCGTGCGAAGGTCCAGGAACGGCAGCAGGAATAAAGGATAATTCATGAATTGATATTCTTTTTACTTTCAGAACTTGCATTTAAGACTGAAGGTCTTATGGTTCACGCATATTTCAAGAAATCTTTCAATAATGACTGTTTATATTTACTTCTCATAAAGAGGCATTTTGGAAGACACATGTTTCATAAATGTAAACTGTTCATAAGTTTAATCAACATTAAAAGAATTGTGAATGTTTTCGTCATCCATAATTGGTTCATTTTGACTTGTTTTTTGGTATTAAACCTTCATGCGTTTGAGTATCCTGCCCCTGTATTGCATTTCGTGAATTTACGTGTGATGTGCTTTGAATGTTTTATGCTATTTCGCAAGTACCGTGTCGATGCGAGTTTGGAAATTGTCTGTAAAGCGTTTCGTCTCCAGCGTTTGCACTGCATGTGATTCATACGACGTTTCTGATGTGGTTTGGACATTTTTGTTTCCCGAGTGATTGGTCCTGGAGTCTACTATGACTGTCAATGTTAAAGGACTCCTTCAAACGTGATCATGGGTGCGTGGCGTCGGTGGGCGTTGCGTGGTTTTGTCTTGGTGGGCGGCCTTGTGTTGCCGTGTGTGTGAGAGACAAGGGTCACGCCAGAGCGTCTCCCTTCGGCTGGCACTCACCTGAGGCATAGGTAGTCGTGCGCGCGGGCGTCGGCGGGGTGGTGTCCACGGGCGGCCTCGAGCAGTCGCCTCCTCCGGGTCTGGGTGGAGGATAGGGCACGGATCGCAGGACCCTGTTGATGGAACGCAGGAGCGGCATGGATTCGCGGCAGCAGTCGTTCAGGAGGTCGTCGAAACTGAGATCCCACACCATGGCGCCGCCGTAGCCGCTGCTGAGGATGTAGTTAGCTTTTCTGGTGACGGAGTCGGGGTCCTCGTAGCTGTACCACTGGTCGCCCTTGTGTGCGAATGGCCCGATCGCGCCCTTGGCGTCCACGACCTTGCTCCAGCCGGGGGTGCGAACTGCAAGGAAGGCAGGGAATCGTTACGACCCTCTCCCTCACGGGGAACAGCAACCGGTGCATTGTATGTTTAACACAAACAAATTCTACCTGGCAAAGAGCGGAGCAAATAACGCCGCTTCTGTACTTACCTATCTTACAAATCTCGAAGTAGGCCATCATGCCCCTCTGGCGGGTGACCGGGCCGGCGTCCCCGTTCTTGGACACCGGCGCGCGGAGGCCGTTCTGCAGCGGGTTGGCCAGGGTGAAGGTCTGGCCGTAGAAGGGGATGCCCATCACCAGCTTACTCGGGTCGGCGCCGCGCTCCACCCAGTGCTTCATGGAGTAGTCCGTGTTTTGAGAAGCGTACCTTCAGGGAGAGATGCGTTCCGTTAGGAGTGTTGGTGACAAAGATGGTGATGGCGGTTGTATAAGAATCATGACAATTGCAACAACGCAATGCTAATTATCACAACAGCAACAAGGACAGACGAAATAACGCCAAGGGACGTCGAGCCCCAACTCACCGATCGCCGTCCCTGAACGTGAGGGGCGAGACGTGGCCGGTCTCCCTCTCCCAGGCGCCGTGGAAGTCGTACGTCATGACGTTGATGAAGTCCAGGTAGCGAGAGAGCGTCGGGACGTCGTAGGCCCTGTCGATGGTGTTGCGGGCGGGCGAGACGGCGGCGGAGAGCAGGAGGGGCGGGGAGGCTCGCGCGAAGGCCATTTTCAGTTCCTGAAGGGGTGGGCGAAGGGAGGATGAGGGCGCGGCCGGGTGGGGAGCGGTTTTATTTTAGTAGAGGATTTGCTCGCACGTGCCATCCCGCAAGACTTATTCGTACACAGTAGAAGTATAAGGGAATGTAACGTAATGGAATCTTTAATATTAGCGAGATATGAACTTGGACAGCTGTAGAATACAACTGAAAAAACGATACAGCGAGAGAAAAAAATCGCAGAAAGAGAAAAAACTACAACCAATAACCGTGATGCGAACTAACGCACAAATTACCTTTATAAGACTCGCAAAGCCCGAGACATCTGAGGCGGGGCCTTTGGAGCAGTCCATCTGCCAGCACCGCGGGTACATCCAGCCGAAGTCCAGGCCGTCGAAGCGGTACGCTGTCAGAACCTGCGTTGTGTGTTCGACGAAGCTGGGGAAGAGAGGAACGTCGAGATTTACATTTCGTTTCATTTACTGTTTAATTTTTTTTGTGTTTTATTTTCGTTTTTATTTTCATCGAGTTTATTGTATTTTCAATATTTTTTTTATCTACAATCATTTCGTTTTGTTTTGTTTGTTAGCAATGAAACCTTAGACAAAGAAAAAAAACCCACCGTTTTTCATTTTCTTAAAATTTCATCTAGTCTAAACACTGATCTTAGCAACCCACCAATTCACTCGTACATTCACAGATAATTTTCCCTACGTGTCCCAAGCAACAGATATCTCCAACCAAACTGAAACCGCCCCCCCCAAAAACTCACTTCGCTCTGGCCTTCGGGTTGTTGACGAGGCGAGAGTACTTGTCGCCCGTGGAGTCCACCCAGCCGCCCAGTGCCAGCATCACCCTCACGTTGGGTGCCTCTCTCTTCAGGGCCAGGATGCGCTGGTAGAATTCTGACGGAGAGAGTGGGGATAGTAGTAGTAGCGAGGATAACGTTGATGAAGCGGGAGATTGATGTGGTAGGATAAGGGTAGGAGTAATAAGGATAACGATGATGGTGTTAGATATAGATATATTAATGGTGTTGGTTTGTTTACAGTAAATATTGGTGGATGTGTATGTCTTTTCTTTCTCTATCATGGATGAACGTTATATCACCATTACTTTTGATACTGTTCATATGCAAATAAAAAGTATCCCTATTCATGCAGAAAAGAAACCAGAATAACCCATGATATCACTGACCCAAATAACATTCACAGATCACATGTTTTTCTCCATAGAGAGAATCCCTACAATAACCCAGTATATCACTGACCAAAATAACACTCACAAATCACATTTTTTTTCACACGGAAAATCACCATACTCACTGTAATCGAAGTCGAGATAGGGGTCGAGCGACCTCATGATGAGTTCGGAGCCGTCCAACATAGCGTATGCGTATATGATGTGGGTGCAGAGATTTGGGTCCACGTATTCGGGAGCGAAATTGTGGGGGGCGGGTCTGTAGTACGCCCAGCTGGTGAAGTAACACACCACTTTGTTTTCTGAGCCTGGAAAGACCGAGAGGTGGGCGTGAGGTGGGTGATGAACTTCATAAGTGACATAAAAGGGAGGATTTGTTGGTGGAATTAAGACCGTGTTGGTAACGAATGCTATAGATTACACAAAATGAACCAAAAGTATAAAAGATCAAGATGTGAGGTGGATAATGATTACGAATAACGAAATGAATAAAAACTAATAAAGGGTGTAGAATAACAAATAACACATCAAAATTAAATATCACGGTTCCAAGTAATGGGTCTTAAACTGAAGCATGCCAGCCTCTTTATAATTTGTAGATTTCACAAAAGCATTTCCTCGGAGACCCACCTGCCCGCTGAGCCATCTTGAGCGTGATCTCGTTCTCGTCAGAACCTTCAATCATGACGGATTGCCCAGGCAGACAGAACTTCTGGTTGGGTTCTGTGCACACTCCTGGAAGGGAAAGAGAAAGGGGAAATTGAATGGAAGTCACTAGAAAGAGGGGGAGGAAGAGATGGAGAAGACAAAGAAGAAGGAATTCATATTCACTTTCACAATAATTCTCTATTTTACTAGGTCTTGAATTCTCTTCTTATAAGTTTTTATTTCACAAACACAAAATCGCTGGGTTTTGTTTTTTGTTGTAGTAATGGATTGTATACTGTATATTTTCTGTAAGTAGTAGCTTGCTCACACGTATTGTCGTATTTTCTCAGTATTGGTTAATTATGTCTGTATGGATGAAACGCTCGCATGTTTCCATGTGGTCAATGAAGATGGCTGCACAGTAGATCTGGTTTATGGTCACTGTATAACAACACAGTGATGTAAATTTCATGTATAACAGAACAATGTCTATTGCGTGTGTACATTCGCTTGTTCTTGTTTTGTTCATGTTTCGTGTATTTTCCACATCGTGAAAAGGAGGCACGTTTGTTCTTCTTGGAGTTAACCCATAGTTTCTGTGACGACCTGTGTTCTCTCTGTTCCTATTTCTTATCGAGGTCTTTCCCTGTGGTGTTTTGGTCTTCGTGTTTCCCATAAGCTCTTGGCCTTGTTGCATTACCTGTCCTGGGATGGAAGTAGAGTCCGTTCTGGCAGGAATACCTCGACGCCACGCCATTCCTACACCAGGTAAACATGCGACAGTCGTACTCGTCACTGTATAGACCATCTTTGTCACACTTGATGGCTTTCCTTTCTGTCGACCAGCCCGGAGGAGAGAGTTTGTGAGGGGAAGGATTTAAGAGGTGCGAAGGGGGATCTTCAACCCTTTTCAGAGAGACTGGGAGAGGGTTCTTTGACATGAAGACTTACGGAAATCAATCTAGTTGCCTAAGAGACACATTGCTACGAGAACATTCAAGAAAATTGTACAAAGATAGCACATAAGCAGTGATGACGGTTGAAAATACAGTGCAATAGTAAGGATATAGTGCTTAAACATGCAGTAATCAGGGGAAATACTGTGCACAAAATCAAAAGAAAAATTAAAATGATCAAGGAGAACACGAAAGGGAAGATGAAACAGACAAAACGAAACCCCGAAACTCACTGAGAGGCGAAGACGCCGCCCCGCACTTGACGTGACGCGGCCAGTTGCAGAGGCGGCGGAGGGTGTCGAAGACGAGGCCGGCGGGACACACGAACTTGTAGGCCATGAGGGACGAGTCGCAGAGGAAGTACACGGCGCAGTCCTCGGCCGATCTGAAGAAGCCGGGACCTACGCGGGAAGTGGGGGAGGACGAAGGAGAGAGTAGAGGATTTGGAATGTAAATGAACCTAATCTGTTCATTTTACTAAGGGCTAAGGTGTAAGAAAATGGTCATAAGGCGTAGGTATCTGCACATTCCTTGAGAAGTACGAGAACCAGCACAGCGGATTACCTGGGCAGGTGAAGTTAGGCGCCGGCGTCGATTCCGTGGGCGTGAGGGTGGTCGGAGGTAACGTTGTCATGTCCTCGGTGTCGAAGGGCGTTTGAGTCGCGGTTTGTTCTGGCACTGGCGGGGTTAACGCTCTGTTAGGGGGGCTAAGGGAAGCCGAGAGGAGACCGTGTATGTGTTTCGTGATGTGGGAGTGTTGGAGACGGTGAGGGAGAAGGGGAGGGCGGAGGGCATGCTGGAGTGTGTTCGAAATTAGTCACGGAGGAATCCCCAAGAGGTGCTGAAGCCTCCGGGGAGAGACCTTTCCGAGCACACGTACATGCTCATCCGTGCACACGCTCATCCATACGCACAGCCACACGTTTCGTAAACACAAAGGCAAGAAATAAATTACATTGCCTCCTAATTTGACAAGAATGAAGCATGCAAGCGGTACTGGGAAGTTCTAAGAGGAAAAATATATATACAAAGTGCGTGGGTTTGAAAAGAGGAGAAAAAGCCAAAGCTGATGCAGGAACTTCAAAAGTGGACATCGTCGACAATGGCAGAAGGAAGAAACGAGGTGAACTGAAGTGACACTTGCAACGGTATTCTGCACAAAACGCTTGAATTCACACAAAGATGTTAGGCACTTATAATCATCCTTGATCCTATCCTGGTTATCAGAAGTGACAAGACGAAAGAAAAGGGATAGCGGGCCGGAAGTGCGACAGAGCAACAAGTTTATGAGGCATAACAAACAACACTTAAGGGAAAAAAGGGCAATCATACTCGTTTCCTCAACAGTTGTAGCAGCCGTGGTGACTTTGGTGGTGTCGGCAGCAGCGGTTGTTGAAGTCTCTGCCGGAGGATTGATGGGGATGGCGCCCGGGGTGCTCGGCAGGGCACTGAGGCCGAGACCACGACGCATGGCCGTCAGGAGAGGCCACTTGTCTCCGCACACACCTAGGTAGTCGTCCAGATCGATGGCCCAGACCATGGCGCCGCCCAGGCCCTCGGACTTCACCAGCTCCATCTGCAATTGAACGGCGTCAAAGCCCGGACCTCTGATGTGCACGGAAAGGATGCCTAAAACACGAGGGCGACAGGCCGGGAGATGACCCAAAGGATGATTCTGTACGGATCTCTATTCCTTTTTATGTTTTTCAATTTTACACAGTGTGCTTGAACAGGACTCGCCTTCTTGTTGACGTAATCGACGTCGTCCCAACCGATCCACTGGTCTCCCTTGCTCATGTACGGGCCTCCGACCGCGTCCTCCTGCATGTCCCAGCCGCCATTGCGCATCTCTTGGCACACTTCGTAGTAGGCAAGGAAGCCTCGCTCCTGAGTGTACTGTCCCTCGTTACCTCCGGATTTCGCCTGCGTAAGGACACATAAAGGTTATGAATGCGTAAGTGGCTTTTGGTAAACGTACTATGCTTTCTAAATCATTTGACTCAGTATACTGCTTCTGTAAAGTATCAAAACCCTGAACGTGAAAGGCTGTAATCCAGAATGGAAAGCACGCTCAAGCGCCCTCTGTACCCACCCGTGCCCCGGGTTGAGTGTCGGACGAGGCGAGGGTGAAGGTGCGGCCGTAGAATGGGATGCCCATCAGGAGCTTCTCCTTCGGGGCGCCCTTCTCGGCCCAGTATGCGATGCCGTCCTTCGTGTTCAGGGCTTTGTAGGCCCAGCTGTCGGAGGGGCGGGCGGAGATGGGGGCATGGTGGTCAGCCTTGCCGTCCCAGGGTCCTCGTAGGTCGTAGGTCATGATGTTGATAAAGTCGAGGTGCTGGGCCAGGCGGGGCACGTCGTAGCCTTCGTTCACGCGGAACCTGGAGGAACGAAAGACAGCACACATGAAGGAGGATTTTCTTTCGGGCTGATCAGCTTAACGCGAGCATTCCACTCCATATGTTACACCAGTGATGCACAGTGACAGTTTTAGTAATGTATAAAAAACAACACGAAATAAAATCTAACAAAAACATTACGAAATAAACTTTATCATTATGACTATCATTCCAGACCCTGATACGCTGGCCAAGAGGGAGAACAGAGAAGGACTTACTTCGCGGGAGACACGGCGGCAGACAGGATCCACCCGTGAGGTTGGAAAGCCGCCGCGAGCTCCTCCACGAGGTCGGCGAAGTTGGCCTTGTCGGACCAGCGGCCGCCGCGGTCGCTGGCGCCTGAGGGGAGGGGGAAGGGGAGGGGGGAGGAAACTTTAGTCTTGAGCACTTTAGAGATATTCCCGTCTAAACACGTTTAAAATAGGAAGGATATATATGCTGACTTTGGCTAAATACGTATTATTTAAAAGAGTTTACGACAAATAAAAAAGATGAATGATAACTAATACAAAAAACAAAAGAAAAAATCAAAACAGCAACAACGACGATAAAAAAACGTTACTACAACAGATAAAGAAAAACATGAAATGATAATAAAAAACTAAAACATCAACAATAATAATCAGAAAGAAGACCACACGAACACCCACCAGGGTACTCCCAGTCCAGATCGAGGCCGTCAAACTTGTGCTCCTGCAGGAAACTCACGACGGAGGCCACGAACTTCTCCCTCCTCTGCTTGCTCGAGGCCATCTCCGAGTACTTCTTGCCGCCTTCGTTCCAGCCTCCGATGGCGATCATCACCTTGAGGGCGGGGTTCTGGTTCTTGAGGCCGACGGCTGCCTTGTACGCCCCTGGGAGGTGGTTGCGGGCGGGGTTAGGGGGCGTCATTGCGGATGTGGGTGGATTTTTTTTGGGATTTGTTGGTATGGTAAAGTGAGGGGATTTATTGACTTGTTTTAATTGGGTGTTATTTATTAACATGTTACGCCAAAATTTCTGATAATTTCAACAGACATAGAAACTGGATTGAATTAATTACCAATACATAGATGCAAACAAGTACAAATCCATCAATAAATGTCTATAAAAGATCAACACTTAAAAATTCACGAACAAAAAATTTAAATCTTCAATCCATACCCTTCACGATGTCCGTTTCCTCATCTAAGGCTTGGATCGTGTATTCGTTAGCCTTGAGTCCTGCGAAGGAGTAGATGACGTGGGTGCAGGAGAAGGGGTCGATGTCCGTCACCGTAAAGTCGAAAGGCTCGGGCCTGTACACGGACCAACCGCCGTAATAACACACCAGCTTGTAGTCTGTGGAGTGAAAGGGTTACGGGAATCAGAGAATTGCCCTCGGTAAAGTTTTGTTTTCTATTCTGATTTTTTTTCCTTTATTTTCCTATTTTATTATCTCCTGTTTTGAAAAGGTATGGACGCCAACACACACAAACACACACATACAATTCCTGACACACACTTACACATCCACACACCCACAAACACACACCTCTCAACCAATTACAACAAACCACCCAAAACCCCTTTTTCCACAATATTTCCACACTCTACACCCCCCCCCCCCCACACACACACACCCCACCCACCCCGAGCACCCGAACACCTACCCGACTTCTGGCTCCTGATGTCATTGTAGTACTTCCACAGATCGGCGCCGGCCAGGGAGCTGAAGGTGTCCACGAAGGAGTTAGGGCCTCCTACTTCTACCACGTCGTCGTCGTCGTCAGAAACGTCTTGGCTCAGGAGGGTCTCAGACCAAGGGCCGAAGGGGCGGCTGTTGAGCTGCGCAGCGAGAAGGAAGCGAGTGTTTCTTTATGTCTTTATTTATTTCATTTGTGTATATATTTACCTCTTTTTGTTTCTGTGATTTATTATTGTTAAGCCTCTATGTATATTGTATTTTGTTATTTATTCATTTCATCTATCTGATTTTATATATTC